TATGCCCTAAAAGTATGTACTCTTTTTGTTAAGAATAGTAACTACATACTATTCTGCTATGTAGCAGAATAGTAGACAAGCTTTGGGACATACTACTTCCTCATAACTGTGTCTTTAACGGACACTCTGTTGCTTAGTTACGTGCATTCTGTCACCATTTAAACTGCACCAAAGTCCCTAGTCTTTGACTGCACTGTCAATCATCTTGTCACAGTTAACAAAATCCACATTTCGTTTAATTGAATTTCCTACCATATTAAAGAAAATGAAGAGGCACGTTGATCTGCCAGTCGTGGGCCTATCGTGACGAGAACTCTCTTCATATGTTTGCATAATGATGCATTTAAAAGTTAATGACCAAATGTATAAAAGTTCACAATGTTGCTGCAGATGAAATATAACGCACATAACATTAAATAAATATTTTTTAATCAGGTTAGACATTGATTATTTATTACTCAAACCCCTTTCTCTGCCTGTCCGTCAATCTCACATATCACTTTTTATGCGTGATTGTAGTTCTAATCGAATCCTCGTCCACCGCGCAATGTTGTGGGCAATATTAGCCATTAGCGTGCGCATCGATCTGCACTTTGAATTTTAATCTCAAGTAGTAGACCATCCGGGAATCTTTGGCATGCTCTTTTCAACATACTATGATTTGGGACATACTAATTCTATTTCCAAATACTATTTAGGATGGATAGTATGCGAATTGGGACTAAGCATTTGTTTTTTCGGTTATTTAAGTGCATCATCCGGGTATTTAAAGTGCACTTTTTCTTTTTGGAATTTTCAGTGTGAACGCACTACTCGCACTATTGATACTACAAAACGTCATAGAATAATGCATAAGTACGCGATTTGGGACGCACCTATAGAAATACAAATACAGTTCACTTCTGTACTTATGGATGGGAGAAACTGCAACGTGCAATATGGCGGAACAGTCCCACCTTCTAAATGAAATAGCCAATCGCTGATTGGTAAAGTCATTGCGTCACTGCAGGGGCCGTTAGAAGCACCGGTTCCCATAGAAACCTGAGGCTGGACCAGCCGATGCGCATGCACAGTTATAAGTGCGTTTTGACTGCGCATGCGCATTGGCTGGTCTAGCCTGAAAAATAAGCTTTTTAAATGCTATTTGAGCATAAGAAACAACATTCATGGGGCAGTTCATTTCAGATTTTGTTGCTGATTTGAAATATGTAATTTAATCGCAAGTTCAGTGAGTAGTGTTTGAGATTTCAGGATTCTCCCATTCATTTAGATAGGACTTGGTCTTGTTTGAACTGCCCGGAGGTGTTACAAATATGGCCGCCGAGTGAACAGACTTTCCTTGAAAGGGACTTTGTTTTGCATCGATGCTGCTAAGTGTCTAAGCCTAAGACGACTTGTGCAAGATAATTAAATAAATAAATAAAACCTTGAAAGCAGTCAGTAAGATTTTTTTTCAATTAATTATTTTATTCAGCAAGGTTTAGTTAAATTGAACAAAAGTGAAGGTAAAGTCTTTTACATTGTTACAAAAATATAATATTTCAAATAAATGCTGTTCTTTTGAAATTTTTGTTCATCACACAATCCAGAGAAAAAAGTATGACAGTTTTCACAAAAATATAAAACTGCACAAACTCTAGTATTAAAAATAAGAAATGTTCCAAATCAGCATATAAGAATGAATGCTGAAGGATCACGTGACACTGAAGCCTGTAGTTATAGCTGCTGAAAATTCAGCTTTGCCAACACAGAAATAAACTACATTTAAAATATATTAAAGTTGTAATATGATTTCACAATATTACTTTTTTTACTGTATTTATCAAATAAATGCAACCTTGCTGAGCGTAAGACCTCTTTTAAAAACATTTTTAAAAAACTTTCCAACCCCAATTTTAGAACTGTATATTAGTAAGGGACACAAAAATATCCTTCAGGTATTAATAATTAAAAACTAAAACAAATCATAACTAATAAATCCACAATGCTGTTTAAATTCAGGGAGAAACATTGAAACCTCACCTCGAGATAAGAAAAAGCTATGTCAAACACTTTGTCCTCCTTGATGAGGTCCATACGAGCAAACAGTTCGTTCATAGTGAGAAACATCACTCCTGGAGAATCACTATTGCCCAACATGGTGTGTGTTTTTCCTGCTCCTGTAGCTCCATAAGCAAACACTGGCCAAACAAAAAGACACACATTTAAGAATAAAAACATTATCGCTAAACCAGCTGTCATAATGACATCAAAAACATTCATGAGAAGCATCAAATAAATCCATAAATGACCAGATTATTAGCATGATAAATAAATACACCAACCATGCAAAATTCCTTTAACATGATTGAATGGGGGGGAGAATTACAGGTCAACTTAAAAGGCCATGCTCTTGTAGCACTAACAAAATGTAAAAATGGGACCAGGTACTTTAATTTATGAAATACTTTTCAATGAAATACTGTTATGTTATTGACACTGTTTCACATTCCGCACCAAGTTCTAGCAAGACAAACATATTAGCCCAAAATTGGATGATAAATATAGGTTTCACTGCTGAAATCAAGTACATGGCACAGAAAGTAATTTTCAGATTCAGTGAAGAGAAATAAAATATCTCACCAGTGCAGTTGTAGCCATTTAGGACACCATCCACTATTGCTTTAGTGGTGTTCTCAAAAACTTCCACCTGTGAAGAGTCCTCCCTAAACACGCTGTCAAACACAAACTTGAGGTCCTTATTGGCTCTTCTCCGCACATCCCTGTTGCCTACCCGCTGTCCCCGGAAAAATGTCACTTCTTCCTCTTTAGGATCAAAGATAAGCATGTGGTTGTCGACTACATGGACAACCTTCTTGTGATTTCCATCCTTTTCTTTGTTGTTTAAAGGACGGACACGGACCACCACTTTTACGTGGCTGCACACCTCCCCATCCGACATTGTCCTTTTTTACAGCTTCCCACTGAAAATCTCTGCTTCTTAGTGTTTGTGCATCTGTACAACACAAGAGAATAATGTATAAACAGAGTGATTTCAAACAAGGCATATTCCAAATAATTCTTCAACAAAGAATGTAACATTTCCCTACGACACTTATTTCACATTCTCCACTCAGTTACTTTTGGATGTCAAGACAGAGGTAGCCATGCTGGCAAAGCATGATTTGTTTTATTGTGGCTTGATACCTTTATAAATAAACTCTAATAGAAGGGGACTTTGAATAATAAAATTAACGTTAAACCTCATACTACATGTCAGCCAATAAGATTCGCCTATAGACTGTACATAACATGTTTTAATGTAAGGCCATGGATGAACCCTGTAAACCCCGGTGCTAATTTATTGTAACGACGCACTAACAAAAGGTCATTAAACATAACATAAATAGACTATACCATCAGACCCATATGTCTGATTTTTAGTTTAAAACTCTTATTTGCATTAGTTAACAGCATCTGTTATCTGTTAGCGTTGTGCTAAAAGCTGCAGCTAACTACTCATCTCTTTCATTTCAATCACAAAAGATTAAGTTAACGTTGTAAAATGCGTATGACCTACCATATGATACAATATGAATCCACGACGAATGATTTGACTGTTGTATTAAGAGAACTTAAATTTGTCTTTATTTAACTTTAAACAAAACATTCGAGCTGATAGTAAGCAAAACCAAAGCCCTAAGCGCGAAGATTTCAAACACAAGCTCCTGTTCCGTCCCTGCATCTGATTGGACGACAACATTCTTACGTCAAGCGACGTATGACGCTACGACTGAATCTAGCCGATAGAGAATTTAATTCACGGTGGAATAAAGCATAAAATGTATCCTTAAATTGAAAAATTGAATTCCTAAATCATGTAATATATGACAGGTATAAGTTAGATAATTGTTATGAGCACAATTTGAATGTCATTTAGCGGGATTTAATTTATGAGCCACCGTTAACTGTGACTCTTACAGTTGTGATCAGGGATAAAACGAATATTACATATCTTTAGAAAAGGCATGTATCAGTGAACTGTGTATGGAGTAAAACACGCGTGTTTAATGAAAAAAAAATGCGAATAAAATTATAAACATAAACCGAAGTGTCGCACATTTGCATTTAGTCACATTGTGAATATGTAAAATATCGCTACAGAATACTGTCAAGATTGCTAGTTCATGTTGCCAAGATACAGATATCGATTATATCTGTTTTTAAATGCTTGTCATGTTACAGGAGGAACACAAAATCGTCATTTCTTGTTTCTTCCGGGAGCAGTCGCAGCTGCACTCATGAACCTCCACAACAACGCTGAATAAAGGATTAAACAGCCGTGTTTAATAGGATAATAGCGATTAATCATTAATTCACATCCTGCTGAATTGTTTTTATCGGTTTGAATTGTAAGTTGTATGTTTCCGAACGGACTTTGACTATGATATACTTTAAATCACGTGTTGACAGACATGACATCAAGTCCATGCACTTCCTTTGAAATACGAAAATGATCTTGAACATACAAACCGTGCCTCTGGCGTCCTGCACGTGTTCCTGTGTTTCTTCCTGTGTCTTGTATTCTATTGGCGGGATTATATCAATATCAAGGTGTTAAGTGCTTGAGACATTGAGAGACTTCTACATGTTTACGCCTAATTTGCATTTATAAATGTTTGTATTGTGAGTTTAAAATATCTCAGTTTTTAATTAAACCTTTAATGAGTCCTGCAAAGTCTGTAAGACAGATGGCATGTTTGACAACATGACACCGCTTAGATTTTTTATAGCTTCTCAGTAGTAATCCCATGAAATGTCTTTTCTGTGCAGAGTCCAGATGCCTCTATATTGTAGTCGTTTCATGGTCGCACCCTGCAAACGGACCTTGGGAGACGTTGTTCCTGACCACAGCTACAGAGTGTTCAGGCGATACTGGAGAAAGTTGTGGCATCCAGGGAGGCCCTATACTGGCTCAGTGACTTCAAGCCCTGATTCTGAGTTCAGTAATTCAGAGATGTCGACCCAAAGTGAGAAACCCTTTCACACACCGGTCATGGTGAAGGAAGTGTTGCAGTTTCTGGACATCAAACCAGGGCAGGTCAGTCAGTCCTTCATCAGGAATCAGCTTTCACTGATTTGAAATGTTTTTCGCTGACTATTACCTGTATATCTAGCTGTTTGTGAGACCACATTTGTGTTATTTGATACTTACATATAGGGATGCATCGATCCGATACTCAGTATCGGTATCGGCTCCGATATGGCCATTTTCTGTCGGATCGGGTATCGGTTTAAGTTGAGTAAATAAGTGGAGATGTGCACGCACACACATATTGTGTTTATTGTTGGTTTAAAGGGGTCATATGATGCGATTTCAAGTTTTCCTTTCTCTTTGGAGTGTTACAAGCTGATTGTGCATAGATAAGATCCCTGAAGTTGCAAAGACTAAAGTCTCAAAACCAAAGAGATATTCTTTATCAAAGTTAAGACCCTGCCATGCCCCCCTAAAACGGCTCGTTCTAACACACCCCACATATCTAC